CTCAGACTGCTTTAAGCCTGATAGTTAATATTACATAATTTATATGGAAAAAGATCATTTTGTCTATTGTATGGAGAATGGGTTAGAATGGATTTGGAGAAGACGAATAGAGAATAAGCATATAGGTATAGAAAATAATTAGAAGACTAATGCAGTTGTCCCTAAGAAACAATGCGGCTTGAACTAGGATGGTAGTAGTGATTGTGGTAGCAGCAATTCTAATACCAGAGATTAATAAAGTACTGACTATGTTCCGGTCATTATTCTAATAATTTTACAATAGATACTATTATTAAAATTTTACCAATAAGAACACTGGTGTACAGTGAGATTCTATAAACTGTTCCAGGTCACATAAACTTCACATAGTGCAATGGGACTTGAACAGGCAGTCTGACTCCAGAACCAGTTCTTAAAATTCTCTTAACATATACTATATAGTGGTGATGGGGGGAATCAGATTAACTTATGATAGATTCAAGAAGTAGAATCTTCAGGTCCTGATTAGATAAAGATGCCATTTACTGAGAGGAGAGTCACAGAGATGAAGGTTGCAGAATTGACACTGACAAAGAAATCAAGGATTCTATTTTGGCCAAGAGAATCTGAAATGACTTTAAAATAGCCAAGTGGAAGTTTCTAGGACATTAGATAAATCAATAAGCACTCTTGGCACATGTCAGAACTAAAAGTATGGATTTGTGTCATTTGAGTAAATAAATAGTATGTTAAGGATGGGTGACTTTATCTTAAATTAAAAAACTGAAAGCCCAGAAAGCCTGATCTATTCCAAACTTTAGACTCAAAGCATAAGGGGAGTTAATAAAGAAAACAAAAGGAAACTATCAACGAGGTATGAAGAAAACCAATAAAGTATGTTTTAATGAAAAAGAAGAGTTTAAAGAAGAAAAAAGTTAAAAAAAAAAAAACCCCTGCCAACTTTAGGTAAAATGAGAGCACTAAACTGTCAAAGGTTTTGACAACACGAAGGTAACTGTTAATTCCAACAAAGTCAGTTTCAAAGTCGGTATAAAGGCAAAGAATGAGTACGTGGAAAAAAGAATGTGATGTAAAGAAGAACAGCAGCTCTACAGATGATTCTTTATAGAAGTTTGAATAAAACACTATAAAAAGGAGTCAACAGCTAGAGAGGGATGTGGAGTGAAAGGATTCCACGGTCCTTACAGGTCAGGTAAGAACCATGAATGCATACTCTAAAAGAAGAAAGAGAAGGGGCAATATGCAAAAACAGAAAGGGGGGCGAATCTGAAGCACAAAAGGGGCAGGTGGGCTCGGGTAGGAACAGAAATGCTTCTACCACATTTGGTGGTGGGAAAATAAGAGAACTCTGGTGACAGTTTCCATTTTCTTAAAAAACTGGGAGGAAAAATTTATCAACTGAAAGCCCAGCAAGGTTAAGGAAAAACAGGAGAAGAGGACAAGGAGGGAAAGAGTCATTTTAAGAGAAAGACAACAAATACTTTAAGAAAGGTAGGCTAGCCAGGTGGTGGTTAGGGCCCATCTGAAATCTGTGGCCATAACTTTAATGTGAGATCAGCCAGTGCAGGTGTATGCTTTTAACCAATTAACATTTTGCTGCCTGGGTGGCTGCACAGACTGTGCAGATGAGTTGGTCCACCCAAGATGGATGCTTATTCAGCATTTACCATGGAAGGGAACTACGTCAAGGGAGCTTAGGGTATTTGAAAGGACTGGATTTGTATATGTAAAGTATTTATATCATAAACACTATGAAACAATTTTTAAAATATGAAGAAATGGAAGAGCTTTCTACTGTGTCAATTATCAAGCATCAATAGAGAAAAAGATGTTTCACATACCACAGTTTCAAATGTTTAAGAAATACTACAGCCCACTATTCCATCTCTGGGAGGGCCCACAATCCCTATTACCCCATGACCTGAAGGTACTAGATCCACAGGAAGGACATCAGGGAACCCCGGTATCTGGG